GAGCCACTTGTGCTGCCGTTGGGCGCCTGTTGCGAYGGCGCGTGGCTCTGCACACGCGTCTCCCAGTCTGCCTCCTATTGCCCAAAGACCAAGGAAACTGCCACGTCTCAGTCAGAATTGTTCACAATGAAAGAGACAGTAAGGAATTACTCCTCCAGGCATCTCAAAAGTGCTAACATTAAATGCAGTTCAAAACAAACAAACAAACATGAGCATTCGGGTAGCAGAAAGCAATTAAGTCCTCAGAGAGGCAGCTTGCTTACAAGGACATTCTGGCATTTTAACAACATGTATTTGCCCGGGCTTAAGTCAGAAGATGGGACAGGAAAGCACTGCACTGAGCTGAGCTGCCACCCTGGGAGAATAGCACAAGGTACAAATACCATGGCCGAGTTTCTCTCTTATTTTTCTTTTTGCTTTCATCACAAAATACAGCAGAACCACTCATATGATGTTTAGACTAACTTGATAGTGTTTGAGCTGCAGGTCAGCATAAGGCAGCCCCTGAACTTCTAGGTGAGTGCATGAAAGGACGTATGTAAAAGCACAAGTTTCACAGAGGTTTGTCAATGCAAAATAATGCGTTTGGCTGGGGGTATTTATTTGACCATAAAAGTAGTAGGTCAGAAGCGAAAGTGTCACTGTGCCTTCACGTGAGATCAAGGAGGGAATTCAAGAAACTGAGCTGCATTTGAGGCACGTCATCTGCCATGGGAGGGAAAGCAAAACATGAATTCCCACAGGCTCCAGAATGCACATAATTAGCCGTTCCTTTTACCTTTTTGCTCTACCCAGCACTTCTTCAAGAGCACAGTCATCTCTGGCTTTGGCATCCTACTCGTCATCTATGAATTCATGTTGCCGCTTCCTTCCTGAAAGGAAAAAGTCCCACAGTGAGTCACCTGCTGCACAGGGGAAAGGGCAAACTTAGCAGAATATTTCTTGCCACTGTTTTAAGTTTGGAAATCACTGCTCCTTGGGCACGGGGTACTGCAGCTTGTGTTCTCTGCTACGGTGCCATTCACCCGAGATACTCTCACAAGCCGGTTTGGACACTAGGAGCTTGCATAAAATTTACCTGGAAGCAGCTGGAAAGCTGCTGAAAATTTACCTGGAAAGCTGTCAATGTCCAAGACCTGCCTTGAGAGAAGTAGCAATCTAGGCCCATGAGTCACCCCAAGTGAAAATTTCCCAGCCACAAGACACTTGCACCAAAAAAAAACTCYTAATTTTAGTTTAAAGCATTCTAAAAATGTTAATCTGCATGAGATAGATGCAAAACAACCCTGAGAAAACACACTCAAGGCTAGGGAAGCCTCCATATCCCACAAGCCAAATCAAAAATAAAAATGGAGTCAAACGTACMAAGCAGAGTGTAAAACAAATCAATTTTCTCAAAGAGAGAACTCAAGGGGCTCCCATGGGGGTTCGCAAATTCTGGATGAGAAAAAAGATCAGGTTTTATGGGAAGAGATTCAATAACCGCTCTTTCCACATGAAACGAGTGATGGAGGATTGTCACTGCTCCACAGACACGGAGTGCACATTTCAGGATAACAGTAACAGAAAATCAATAGCATCTTTCATATGTGAAAGTCCATAATCTCTGCGGACTCCTAACACCAGTGAATGGGACCAGAAGCAACCTTTACTATAATTTATCAGCCAGCATTAACGCTGGCCGGTAAGACAGGGGCTAGTCTAGATCTTTGGTTCTTCGCTCAACTATTAAAAGAATAATAATAATAATAATAATAATAATAACGCTCTCATCAAGGTGTCATTAAAGCTGCAGGGCCGCGGCGCCCTGGCCGGGCCGGTGCGAGCCCCGTGCGCACACGGCTGCTCCCGGGCCCCGGCAAGCTCACCTGCTCCCGGCAGCTCCGAGCTCTTCTCTCTGTGCGACTGCGCTAGGACTAAAGGTAGCATGAGCGACAACGGCCTGCACGGAGCAGCCGCTGCAGGCGCTAAGGGGGTGCTCGGTGGGACCCCACTGCGCCCCGCGGGGCAGGACGGAGGCTCCGTGCGGGCCGCAGGCTCCTGCCCGGCACCGGCGTCCCCGGGCAGGGCTCTGCCCACGGCGCGGGGGGCTCGCGCGGGGCACGGGCCGCGGGGCTGCCCAACGCCAGGCGGAGCAGGGGTCCCCGCGTGGGGCCATCGGGGACCTGGCCCGCGCTCCAGCGCTGCCCGCACGGCCGGGCCGTGACGGGCCCTCCCGGGACACGCAGGGGTCGACCTCCCCCCCATCCTCCATCCTCGTGCGCGGAGCCGCCGCTGCCGCCGGGGACGCGCGGGACCCGCCGGGGCTCGGTGCGCGGGGAAGCCCCGCGCGGCGCCGGCACTCGCGTGGCCATGGCGACCCG